AGTAAATCAGTCTCAAAACAAGATCAAAAAGGCTTTTTGGCTGATATAAGGTTTTAAAACTTGGTAAGATGGGCATTTTTTGCAGTGTAGATGGTTCTTTACAGATTTGATGTTTTATTTGTTTTGATTCTCTTCAGTCATGGTTATTGACAGTTTTCTGTGATGAGCTGGAGCCACTTAGAAAAAAAAGATCCAGGAAAATGATTTTTGTTTGTTTCGGAGTTTTGAGATTAAAATTACAAAACGTGTACGACAGCTTTGTCCTAGTTTTTATCATTTAGGCAGCCGAGGATTATGGGTTTAGTTTTTACTCCATAAACTCCAAAAGCAACACATTTTTCATCAACACGTCGATGTGAGGTTTTTAGTTTTCCCACTTACTTCCTTCAGTCCTTCACAATAAGAGCTCCAAATAGAAACACTAAGCATCAACACAGACACTCTTAAATCATCTGAAACTTTTTTGTCCCTTTTTTTAAGTATGAAGTCACAACAAAATATATAGTAGCTGTCATAGCTGCCTGCCAATCATAAACGTGATCTGTTAATTCTGAGTGTGTTTTCTATAAATAAACATGCTGTTGGCAGGTTACCTGAACATGAAGAAAACGAAGAGCTGCTTTATAAAACACTGTGATGGGATCTAATATGTTGAGTTTATGAAGATTCTTCTAACATAGATACTTTCAGATACTAGATAGTTTAACGTTTTTTTTATTATTGAGAACAAAGTAAAAATAAAGATCTGAATATACAAACTGTTAGCTCACATGATGATGAAATAATCATAGTTTCCTGATATAATCAGACGTTTTGATTAAAGGGGTCAGCTGAATCGAGCCTTTTTGCATTCGAGTTTTGATTTTTAAAGGTTTACGAAAAGTGATAAAAAGTTGTTTTCGTGTCATTTTAGGCAATTGTTCTGTGAAAACATTTAATTAATGTTTAGGAATTTAAACACAAAAATGGTTACAAAAAAGCAAGAAGTCCTATTTTCTTGTTATGTACACTTTAAGAGTCATTAATAAAATTAATAATAATAATAACGAGCATGAAGCTAAACCAACATGATGGCATAAAACCCAAGTTATTCTCAGAACAACAGAAGATTTATGCAAAAGTTTTAGTTTTAGTAAGATTTTACTGAATTCACTCGCTAATCAGGGTTTATGTGAGAAGACTGGAACCAGTTTATTTATTGTCGGTTAACAACACTTTGTTTAACTAATTTCGCAAAGTTTTCTTTTTTCTTTTTTTTTTTATGTTGACCTCAGCTTATGTATGAGCTCCAGCCCACTGTTATTAAAGAAAACAGTTGAAGTGTAGAGCACTAAAACTCAAGGCCCACGGGCCAAATCTGGCCCTCATTAACATTTTATCTGGCCCTGAATTGTTTTAAATGTAAAATAGCTTTATTTTTACAAGTTATATAATTGAATTTTTAGTAGGGGGTAATTTTTCTAACTGATTTGCTGGATTGTGACAAAATGTATGTTTAGGAAATAATAAATGACAAAGTAGTTCATAGAGAGCAAGGCAGATAAAACTAATTATAATGATGTTTTCTAAATGTCATTCATTCATTAGTTTGTTTGTTCTAAATGTTACATAATTTAAAATGGAAAAGGTAAATTCTACACGAATAATTTGTTAGATAACATTTAAACTATTATTTGTTTTTTCAGTAAATATCGACAGAGCATGGTCGTTGTCTTCGACCAAGTTTGAAATTTTGTCCCCCTTTTGTAAGTTTGACACCCCTGTAGAGCAGAGGCAAGGAGCTGGATGGATGGATGGATGGATGGATGGATGGATGGATGGATGGATGGATGGATGGATGGGTGGATGGATGGATGGGTGGATGGATGATGGATGGATGGATGAGTGGGTGGATGGATGGATGGGTGGATGGATGGATGGATGATGGATGGATGGATGGATGGATGGATGGAT